ACGTTTTGAACTCTGATCGTCAAATGGACACGAAGGGTCAGATGGCTCCAGGGCATGGACTCTAGGAGATTGTGCGATGGCACTAAATCAGAATGATGTGGTAAGATGGACAAAGCGCAGCTGAACAGCGTTAAAGAGCTCAAGAATTGTTCTGAGACGTCTCTCAGAATTTCAATCTGCAAGGAGATCCCCAAAATGGATCAATTTGCAGCCTTTGGGGCTGCTTCCTTCGACCACCATGCCTTTGGCACCTTATGGCATCCAACCCACTGCAGTCGCTAAAAGCTGGTGGTTGTTATTTTTCCTCAGAACCCCTTGACACTGTATTTGACCGTTAGGTAATGCTGCCCAGTCATCCTGGCATCGAAACACGGATTGAGGCTGGGGTGGGTGGGTGTGAGTGCGGGGTGGGCGGCAGCTGAGGGTCTGTCTAAGCTGAGTGTGCAAATTCAAAATATTGGCCCCCCTTAGCAAGAGAGCTATGGGCAACCTCGGCAATTTGATTGTGCGGCGAAATCCGAATCTGGACCCGGGCCTTCATCGGATATTCAGCTTAACAAACTGGAACATCGTTGGAGTGTCCACGCCGCGGCTCTGGATGGATTGGGCGCTGGTCATCGACAAATTCAGGGCTAATTTGCTGTTGCTGGATTCCGCGTTGTCCATATCCAGATATCCACAGCCGGGCCCCCTCGAGGGAGGCCACGAGATCTGTTGGCTGGGATCAGCTAATGGAGATGAGCGTCCCCCACCTGCAGTGGCGTCGAATTTCTGATATAGCTCAGTATTTGAAGTACCTCATTCGCCGAAATTGGCAGATTCTGGAAAAGTTTGGGCAGTAGCATTTCAGTGCATGAATGATGTGCGAATCAGGGCCGACTTTTAGAAGTCTGTCAATACTTTAAATTAGGGGAGCTGGCCTGGACCAGCGCTGCCTTTCAAATGAAGATCCCCGCTTCGCCAATGAACTCCGTCGAGAAAGGTATACAAAAGGAAGACGTGCTTTCATAATTGCAACAATTATAATAAATGAAATTTAATTTGACGAATTAATGATGCGGCTTGGGACGTGCATCCCACGGACCTAGATCTGCACATCCCGGCTGCGAGTATTTAACTCGGTACCAAAAATATTGAATCTGGTACCGAATTGCCGAAGTACCAAACGAAATTGAAACTCGTATCAAATGTTGAGCCCAGTACCAATTAGTCATCGAATGTCAGTCTGAAACCAGCCCTCCGACCAACACTGGGCTTGCGCTTGCTTGGTTGGTTTAGGTTTTAGGTTTTAGGGTTTACAAGCCCTGTATGACGGTGCTGATTTGATGACTAATTGTTACTGGATTCAACATTTTTTGTTACAACGTTCAACATTTTTGGTACCGGTGCGAATTTGGCATTAGATTCAATGCGGGTTGGTACGAGTTTCAATTCTATTTGGTACATCGGCAGTTTGGTACCAGTTTGGTACCAGATTCAATGTTGTTTGATACTAGTTCAATCTTATACTAATTGGTACAGATTCGATATTGTTTGGTACTAGTTTCAATTTTATTTGGCACACAGGCAGTTAAGTACCAGATTCAATATTATTTGGCACAGAGTTAAATAGGTTTCCATAGAGGCACCTGGAAATTTGTGTACGTTGCGTTGGTACTGCGAGTTGTTCACGTGCGGGTGTTGTTTCAGTCAATTGTAACTGATATCAGGAATTACGTTTGTTTCAGCCTCTCTGTAAATTGTTCATATTTATGCAGCCTTCTTAAGACTTTGCTGGGTAATTTGTCGCAATCGATGTGTTTTTCGCCAAAACTTGTTGGACGCAGGAAAATTATGAGCGACAGCGTAAAGCACATCGTACGATTGTACGAGGCTGACTGCTCTCCAGCCACGCCTTTACATGGGCAACCGTATGGCGATACCCCAATACGGATTTCGCACGCTTGATTTTATGATACCATCTTGGTAAGCTCTTGATCTTTATCAGATCCCAACTGGATACCTGCATGAAGCAAGCGACAGGATACAAACAGCACATGGTGTTTTGCTCTCCAGACCATGCACTTCCTTCTCCATCTTGCCACTCGAGGTGGGTCAGCCCAGGCTGGGAAAATGCACAAAATTACTTGAACTGCCTAACCCGCAATTCTCATGTGGCATCCGTCAATTTCAGTTGGCAGATTGTCTTGGTTGCCTTAAGAAAAGGGTAGCTCAGAGTGCGGGATTTACAATTGATTGGCAAGTTGCATACCGCATCGTCATCATCATCAAAATCGCAATACATTTGCCATAAAATGACAAGACACAGCCCGTGCACCGCATCGTGTACTGCGATGAATTGACACACACCGTACCAAAGTTGGCGAATCAGTTTTGCACACAACATGGTGGCAATTGGCAACTGCCATGCACTTGTAACGTTTGCAGCAACGATAGCGCAATCATCATCAAATCGCCCGAGCAAGAAAGCTCCTTGAGGTAGAGGTCCAGGAGCTTTTGTCGGATGTGAATATGAATATAAACAGAGCCACATCTATAGATGCGGTGCGGTACAAGTTCCATGGTAGCCAGTGCACATTGACAAAGTACCCGGTTAATGGGGGCCAGGATGGTGGTGGATTGGAGGGTTGTGCACTAGATGGGGGTGGCATAGAACAGAATAGGGAGGATAGTAGCGTCAATTATCGGACGGGCAATGATTGGATGAAATCTCTATTTAGTCTTTATGCCCCAATAGAGGACTCTCAATATAACAAAGGCTTTATTGGATATGTGTCAAATATGTTCCTACCAAAAGAGTGTTGAATCAAACCAAATCCAACGTATTTTAGGGATGCCCCATAATCAAGTTTTATTTTTCCAATGTGAAAGGATAAAAGAGGGAGTTGCTTCCTGCCAATAACCAAGAGTTTGCACTTATCTGTGCTAAAGGGCAATCACCATTTGCGTGGCCACTGTTGTAGGAAGGTCTCCAAACAAGGGATGATGTCCTATTCTAAAGGTCCCTAAATTGCGATCTTCCAATGGGAAAGAATATCATCAGCGCATGCCTGAGAGTCTACTCCCCTGATGTCATTTATAACTGCGGGTAGGTCATTCACATATATAGAAAAGAGGAGTGGTGGTAGGGGGGAACCCTAAGGCAGATCAACAGTTAGTTGCTCGGTCAAAGTTACCGAGCTGACTTTCAGAAGAGTGAGGCGGTTTGTAATGAACGAAGCAACCCATCGCGCCATGTATTGTGGCACGTGGAGTTGCATCAATTTTGATAGCAGACCATGGTGCCAGATGTGGACATATGCACCCTTAACTTCCAAGGAAAGTGCAGTCAACTGCTGACGAGACTGTAAGGCAGAAGCTGCAGTAGAGGCAAACGACCAAAGGGCATCTTCAGTGTTTTTGTTGCGGCAGAAGCCATATTGTGTTGGGGACAAGAGACCAGTGCTTTCAAGAGTTAAAGACCAAAGAGTCATCAAAATCGACTCGAATGCTTTGGCAAGCAGGGAAAGAAAGAGATGGGGTGGTAGCCTTTCACAATGGAGAGGTCCCATGTCGCAATATGATGATGATGATGATGATGATGATGATGATGATGATGATAAATAGGGGATAACGGCCCCCCAGTTAAGCATCTCTGCAAATATCCATTCGCGGACGACCACACATGCATGTACTGGTGGGAAGTTCTTGCATCCTAGTGCTTTGTGTCGTTGCAAGCGGTGCACTACACAAAGAGCCCCTCATCGCTCCCCACCCGTGTAGTAGGTTGCCCGGAGCCATGGACTCCTCTGTGTGCATGTTGCATAACCCAAAGTAGCAGGTACAATATGGGCAAGTGCCAACAGTCAATAGCGGCCGTGTTGCTTTGCACAACTGGGCACAAAAGTCACAACAAAAAGGCAGGAGTGGGAAGCTAAACGTGGCCACCTACTCTCGCTGTTGCTGCCCATTGTTGGTGCCGAATGGTGCCACCCGTGGGTGCCCTAGTTGGCACCCACGAGTGCAATCAATCGACTTTTGACTTGGATGCCAGGCATTTCCAGCTACCGACCCTTACGGGCAAGGGCAAGGCTCGCGCAGAATACTCGTTTGTGATATTGGTCTCTATCAGCCCTCAACTTGCAGCAATCTGTACGCTGGAAAATGTACGCCATTGCATTGGGCATCCCTCCCTATCCCTCCATTCTGTGGGGCCACAAGGAGCCAAGGCGGGCAGTGCTCATTTCCTATGCATAGATGGAGATCCGCAGTCCGCGATATGCCAACTTCGCGGAAACAGTCGGCGGCTGTAGCATCATCCATCCAATGGACACCTCTCTCGGGTGTCCACAATACTAGTTTGAGGTCCCACTGCCCCCGGAAGCTGCATAAAGTATTACAGAAATGGTGACAAGCGGAAAAAGGGGCGCTATTGAGGGGCGGCGCCATTAGGGGGGCGCTATGTAAGGACCCCCTGCTGCGATGCACCAATGTCAATCATTTTTAAGATGGAAGTCCGCAGGAGCACGCAACTGCTCCCCATCGAGGCCGCGGGGGCCGCGGCGGTCACACACGGACACACCCCTCCGCGCTTCCACTGCAGCGCACATTGGACAAAACGCGCCGCACCACACTTGGCCTCACAGTTCATTGGCAGGACCCAGCCTCCGCGTTGCCACCACGCTCCCCACTTGCAGCCCGCCTGATCCAAAACCAACGAGCGATCTCTCAGGACCTGAGGCTGCGGATCGCGAGCAGAGGTGCGCGCGGGCATCGGCAAGGCGCGCTCTGTCAGCGTTCCGGATGCTTTTTAGCCGTAGTAAGCCACAGCCCGCAGGGCTGCTGTGCCGCGGGCCAACGCGTCCAGTAGGGACATGTCGGCAATGTCTGCTTGCCATTAATTGTCGGCCATGATTGGGTCGACTCTGAATGGTGACGCGAGAAGGCCTTTGGCTTTTTGGCCTTTGGGAAAGTTATTCTCGACATGTTGTGGCCGGTCGCGCCAGCAGGTGTGACGAGAGATGGCGAGCCAGGCGAATGGGGAGACCGGGGCGCCGGTCCTGGTCAAGGCGCGGCCCGCGGCCCCGAAGTTCAAGGCGGTGCTGACGCTGGACGGCGGCGGCACGCGCGGCGTGATATCGGTGATGGTGCTGCACAAGCTCGAGGAGCTGATCAAGGCGAACATCAGGGATCGGGGCCTCGCGGAGGGCGACTTCGAGATCGACCTGGCGGACTACTTCGACATGGTGGCGGGCACGTCGATCGGGTCCATCACCGCGCTCTACCTCGCCAGCAGGGGTGCGGCATCGGGGGAGGTGCTCAGGAGCCCAGAGTTCCTGGAGGTCACCGGCGGCACCCCGGCGCGGCAGGGCTCCGTGGCAGCTGTGGAAGCCCTGTTCCGGGCCCAGGCCAAGGTGATCTTCCCCAAGCTCATGTTCGCCAACAGCCGGCTGGTGGGCCTGGCGAGGGCCAAGGCAGGGCCCCAGTTCGCCAGCGATGGCCTGGCACAGGTGCTGCAGGGCGCGTTTGGGGACATGCGGCTGTCGCAGTGCGCCACCGGCGTGGTGGTGCCCACCTTTGAATTGAACACCAGCCGGCCCGTGGACTTCTGGGTCGTTTGCGAGGGCGGGGATCCCAGGGAGACCGGGCGCACAGAGGTGAAGACGCGGAGCGTGGTGCCGGAGGGGGAGCAGCTCATGCCCCATTCGGACCCGGCGGGCGTCCACTGGGATCCGGTGAGTCGGGGGAAGAGGTATATGCCGCATGGCTCCCGTTTGCGCCATAGCGGATTGGATATGGAAGCCGGTCGCCGTGTGTGGTCCTTGAGCAGCCACCGCCTGTTGGGCTCGCGCCTTCCTCTGACTAATACAGGGGATGAGAGGACAGCGCAATGCCGTTTTATCCACTACTTTTGCACAGCCTCTTTCTTGCCTACCGCAAGAGGTCGGCCGTAGCAACGCAGACGCACAGACCACATGGGTACTGGCAGTGACAGCAAGAAAATTGGGCGTGACGTTATTCTCAAATGCTCGCTGCACGGCACAGCTCCTCCTGAGGAACGTCGTCTCCATTACGTGGCGCCTGGTGGAAAACGCCGAGCATCATTTCGTTGTTTCTCAGTAAGCTCTCAATAACGGCATTGGACGGTATGGCCACGACTCACGGGTGGCAGCCATGAGCCTTGAGGATTGCCAATCTGAGTGCATTTGCCACTTTCCTCACCAACCCACAGGACCGCAGCTATCTTCCCGGCGACTACAAACTGCGCGAGGTGGCCGCGGCCAGCGCCGCCTTCCCGGGCATGTTCGCCGCGTCTTCCATCACCCACCCCGATGGTTCATCCAGGATCTACGCTGACGGCGGCCTGATAGCCAGCAACCCCACCATCAGCGCCTTGACATTCCTGAGGGTCAAGGAGGACGTGCCGTTGGAGGAGACGGCGGTGCTGTCCATAGGCACCGGCGTCGTGCTGCCGGATCGGTTGAAGGTGAAGGACTCCGGCATCTTCGACTGGATATTCACGGGTGGCTTGGTGTCCCTCCTCCTGGACCAGAAGTCGGAGTATGTGCAGTCCGTTGTCGACGGCATGTTCTACAAGGTGGGCGGTTGAAACGATCTTTAAAACCGCTGGAGTCGAATCGCACTCCAAGCAACACCCATGGCCTATGGGCCGTAGGATATTCTGCATTTGTGGAGATATTGCCCGACAGTGGGCGTGACCTGTTGAACGCACCGTAGGCCACAGGCCAGGAGCGTCGCGGATACGCGTAACAAGGCGCCGCTAGGAAAAAAAGGGCCAAACAACATGTGTTCAAACGTGTACAAAGTTTACGGGTTTGTGTTATTTTTGTGTTCTTAGCATGCAGAACTTCGATGAAATGTGTTTTATGGGTGTTCGCAAAAGCGTTATTTGACCCTTTTTTTCCTAGTGCGCTGAGCGTCAAATTGACGCAAATTTATAAACTGCTTTTGTATGCATGGCAATAAACGCCGCTTGCAAGTTCCAGGTTTGGTCGTTGAACGTGTAACATAGAGGTCTCCTTTCGTGGGTCCATGGTGCAATTCACGGTCTCGAGAAGTTGCAAATCGGTTCACAATATGCAGCAGCCCAAAATAGCCCGGAAGAACGTTGTGTCTGCAGTTCTTGCTGACAAATTTCCTGCTGATTTCAGGTCCTCCATTCAGAAATCGGCCAGTACACACGAATTCAAATAGCGGTGGACCAGGAGAATGAGTTCGGCATCGACACAGAGGCGCTTTCCAGCGTCACCAATCCTGAAATGCTGGACGAACTCATGGAAATTGGAAGGCGCCTTGCCAACAGCTCGGAGAAAGTTCTCAAGAAATTTGTGGACGATTTTCTTATGGCGTCATTAGAATGAGTAAGAATAATCAATTCCCGTGATCTGACCTTTGCATGAACTACGCTTGGCATCGACTTCACATTCAAAATTCAATGTCAGTCTGCCCAATGGCTATCTGTGTTGTCCGCTCCTCGCGCGCATCTTGCATCGACGCCGGTATCGAGCTATGAGTATCAAATTTCTAGCCGATCAACCTTGAAAGTTTCCTGGTCATGCGATTCGTCTTATCGGGCAGCCGTTCGTGTGACGGATGACTGATGACTGATGAAATCGACGACCTTTTTGGGATGACGGGGTGGAGAGTAAGGGTGGGAGGGGATGAGCTGCTCCATGACCAAATTCATTTTCGGCGCGTGCAGAATGCCGCCAAGGCTTCCGGGTGGTGCATGCTTTGCTGTTTCCTTGGGAGGCGGCAAGCGTTGACTATCAATGATGTAGGAAGCTGGATGCTGCCGGACTGGCGAGATGCATATGGCATATGCTGGGGAAGGACGAAGAGGAACTTGAAGCGTTTAGGGCAGAAATTTAGTTGAGAGAGTTCAGGCTTAAATGTGACAACATTATGTTTGTAATTTTAACTTCTCTGTGTTTTTATCTGGGGTGCATAAAAAGGAGTCCTAAATTGCATTGAATTTTAGAGGTACAACTTCAACAAACGATCCATAGCCTGGTCGCTTTGTGCCTGTGCAACATCGACTATATCATCGCGGAAGCTTTGCAGCCGCTGAGGAGCATCAATGAATATTTCGGCCTGTTACGCGCTCTTTATCTACGTGAAAGCGTGAATCATCACAAACGCAATGAATTTCGCATTCAATCAGTATCTGTGTTCTATCAAACCATGGCGCAGCTCAGGCGCGCGCCCGTTTCCTTCCTCATAGTGTCTGACATGTTTCGATGGCACAGAACAATCCCAGATGCACTTAGGGAAGACACTTTTCTAAATTTGGTATGTTTAACGTCAAATTGACGTTAAGGGTCCAGCCATGGACGTTAAAAGATTATGTAATTGCACTATAATCAAATAAGGTGGAAAGATGCACAAAATCGCGCCGCTGAACATCGGAAAATAGCTCACAACTTGTTGCAAAATCTCTCTCAAACTTTCGATCACCCAGGTAATCCTTAGAACGAATCAAGTTTCAGGCTCTTGAGCTGATCTCATCGCTTATCGTCGCTTTTGGCATTCCGTGATTCACATCACCGCAATCGCTACAATTTTGGATGTCTTTTTCCTTAAACCTTTTTGGAAGTTGTATGGCATTGTTAGGTAATGTTGCTGAGTCATCCTGGTATAGAAATAAGGATTGGCGATAAGTAGAGGTGGGGGAAGGCGGGGTGAAGGTAAGGTTTGCTATAAAAGAGAAACAGGTCATACGAAGGGCATCCCCCCTAGGCGAGTTTATGCAAGGCTGTTTTCCATGCTGCGCAAATATGATGTACAGCCTCCGAAGCAAAGATGAGCACACAGCACAAGCAATTCATAGGCAAGAAATACATACCTTCGAGGAGCACGCATGAACTGTGTAGAATTTGCAGAATGTCAAGTGTAACGGAAAGCCTCCAACGACCTGCCCACGCACCCAAGGCCCAGCCACCCAATACTCAACTCCCGACAAGCTCTCAAAGGAAAAAGTCCTAGAAAAACCGAGCGAATCTGTACATTCCGTTACAGTTCCAACATACATTTGTTTTCACCAACATCAGCGAAAAATTAAAGAAGCCACGAGCAATCAGCACATCCCAAACCCCCACCAACGTCCCAAAACCCCGCAAACCGCCCCAGACCCTGCTAACCAGGCTTGGGTTTTGCGCCTACGTTTACGTTTTCAGTTGCAGAACGTAAATTTGCGAAAGTAGCTATTTTCATGGCAATTTTACGTTTTGCGGCTCGCTAGGACGGACAGGTTACATGATGAAAGTTGCACCCAATGATCAGTCCTCCGCCATCTCTAGCACCCTACAACACAGTGCCCACCTCGCTCTCGGCAAAGGCAACGACGGTATGGAACACAATTTCATTTTCTACCCAATCCAGCGCGTCTGAATGCCACTCCCCGGACTCCCCAAATCTGTGTATACCGTCCTTTTGTACACAGGCTGTATCTGCGTTGTATTTTCGCATTTCTGCACTTTTTTTACGCTTAGAAACATAAAAACTGTTTTTACACGGAAAAGCGTAAGTACGTTCAGGTTTTACGGCGTAAAAACCAAGCTCGCCACGAGCCGTGCAAGAAGCCCAGCCAGTCATCCAAAAGCCCCAACGGCCCTCCGGGGGGTCGGGGTAAGGTTTGTAAAAAAGGTGCATACGAGGGCCCACCCTCCTAGCACCAGGGAAAAAGGGCCAAACAACATGTGCTCAAAAGTGTCCAAAGGTAGCTTGTTTGGGTTATTTTTGTGTTCTTAGCATGCAGAACTTTGATGAAATACGTTTTATGTGTGCTCGCAAAGGTGTGATTTGGTCCCTTTTTTGCTAGTGTAGGCAAGTGCATGTGAGGCTCTATTCCACGGTGTGTGGGGGTTGTGGGGCTCTGAGCTTGACGTCAATTTGACGTTAAGTGTGCCCAAATCAAAGTAGTGTCTTCTCTTATGCCCGCCTGATGGCAGCACCAGCACTCATCGCCGAGCGCCACAGCAACGCCGCAGCACAAGTCTGCGCCCAGTTGCACTGTGATATCCGTGAAGTGCTTCGCTGCCAGGTTGGGGAACTTCGGCCTCGCCACGCCCTCCTTGCTGCATGCAGTGCACGACCGGCGACACGGGGAGCCACATGGGGCCCAGGTGTCATGACATGCAGGTCGCATGTGTGGAGGGTGCAGGTTGCAGCCATCAATTCGCTAGAAAAATGGAGAGGAGTCTGGCGCCATTGTGGCACTCCCTCATGCTCCCTCAGGCTCGCTGGCGGTGTCGGCGGCCTTGGCGGTCACTAGAGAAGAAACGGCCAAATAACACGTGTACAAAAGTGTACAAAGTTTATGCGTGTGAGTTATTTTCGTGTTTTTAGCATGCGCAACACTGATGAAATGTATGTGCATGTGTTCACAAAAAGTGTTATTTGTTCCTTTTCTTGCTACTGTGTCGAGGCGGTCGAGGAGGCGGTGGTCGTGGCGGTAGGCTCCATGACAGCCCTTGGCGGTCGAGGCGGTGGAGGCGGTCCCGGCATTAGGGTCCGCCGGCCCCGATGGTCGTGTCGGCCGCTGCCTTTGCAGGGTCCGAAGCAGTCGTGGCTGTTTAGGCGGTTCAGCGATCCAGCCAGTCTGTCGCGTGGGACAGAAACAGCAGCAGAATGGAGGGCTGCGGCCGGACCGTCTTTTGATTCCTGACAAGATCCCACGGGGGAAGCAAAAGGCGGCAGCGGGAGCTGAGGCAGGCCCTGATCAGACTGTCATGACAGTCCAAACCCCCGGTCGCCACCAACACACCGCTGCAGGGCTTGCTTCATGATCCACCACAGATCGGGATCGGATCCAAGCGACGCCCCCACCCCCCACCCCCAAAACGGCATAAAATTACTGGCTGCACCAAATCGGTGACTGCCTGCACCAAGTCACTTGCACACCATGTCGAACTCTGTCCAAACTGACCTAACCTAAACCCTAAACCCCAAACTAGACCTGCCCTAAATCTAAGCCTTACTCTAAAACTCACCCTAAAACTGAACCTAACCCTAAAACTGAGGCTAGGACATTGTGTGCACGTGACTTGGTGCAAGCAGTCACCGATTTGGTGCACGCAGTGATATTATTTCCCCAAAAACGCCGCAAGCGATCGGAGATCAATTCCCATAGCCTGCGAGCCATGAGGGGCTGCAGCCCCAAAACGGATTGGCATTGATGCCTTGGTACCCTGTGAAACGCCGTTTTTGATCGCGGATCGGTACCGCGCCCCTGGGTTCCCAGGTTACATCCTGGTCCATCGCTGATCGACAGCAACCGGCTGTCGCAGACGGCCCAATTTGCGGCGGAGTGGTTTTCTGCCCAGACCATGCAATTGGTTCAACGCCCCCACGACCCAAGCCCGATGCTTGACAAGGGTTGCAGGCAGCCTGCTTCCGTGCATCACGTCAAAATTTTGCACTGTTGCCACAGCGGTTCGTGGAGACTCTGGAGGAGCTGGCGAAGGCGGATTTGATTTCCGACGGCTGCATCTTCCCGCTCGACGACGGGGTGCCCGTCTGCCCATGAGCGGGGGCGCCTCTTCTGCGCGTGTCGCCCGACGCGCTGGATTGTGCCAACTCTCACTCCTGCTCCACGCTTTTTTCCGTTGTTCCGCCGGGCAGCGAGGGCGCTGCGCCTCGTGGGCATCCATGCATGCCTGGCGGGCGGCTTCCCGTCGCTCCCCGTGCAGCCCCATCGCGTATCCCCAGGCCACCTGCTCAGGATTGCCTTCACGACTCTTGACTCCAGCACTTAGGGCATGCAGGACTGCGAGCGGAGGCCTTCCCGCCAACGCCTCCGCAGGGCGTTTTTTGGCTGGACGACACAGCGATCTTCCGTGAGGACGACGTTTCTGGCGAGGAGAGGCGTGTGACAGTCCTGGGAGCACGCGGGGGGACGACCCCCGGAGCTAGACAAGGCGATCGTGATGCTGCCCTCGTGGAGGTGTCTGGCGGCCTGACCCGCAAGGTCGTCGCGGGCCCAGAGCTGCACAGATTCGAGATTCCTGCCGTGCTGATGGCGCGGATTCAATCGCATACCGTGGCAGAGTCTTCCGCTCCTTCTCCGACGAGCATTCCGGCTGTGTGCGACCCCTGGGCCTAGCTGACGCCCGCCGGGCTTAGCGCGGCCGAGGCGCGGCCGATCTCGGTGCCTCAGAATGCCGTGCCTCATCTGGTGCGGCGCGGTGGTCGTTCGATTGCAAAGTGTTATGCCGGTGCCCTTGATGAGGCAGCACAGCGGCCGGCTCCTTCGCAGATGCCCGGCGGGGGTTTGCGTGGGTGAGACAGGCCCTCGAGGCCTATGACCGTCGCG